ATACTGAATGATATATGATGAATGAAAATGAAGGAAATATATAGTATTTTCATAATATTTTCCGCATAAAATATAATTAAACACCGTACATTTTAATGGCCCATTTCAGGCTTCTTTTATATTCAAAATTTCTCTTCCTAGTCCTATTCTATAGTTGCGCTAGAATTTAATTTCCCACAAACTAGATTCCCATGGTACTCTTGAGGTGAAGCATCACAAGGTTTGTATTTTCTTGTTTGTTTTATTTCCATTTTTTATACATATTCTGATGTTTATAAAATACATAGTAAAATGAAGTTTTAATACTGTATATAATTTTAAATACATGTTAATAGCCATTCCATGGTTTTGGTCTTCGGGGCGGGCTTCCTTCTAAAGCTAGAAAAATTCACTACTCCGAGGCCTCCTGTACTTGTTGCCTGGTAACTAACCATAAAATTGGAATGAGACTTTCCCACAACCAAGGTTTCCCACTGTGCTCATGAGTGTGAGAAGGCATATTCTTTGTACGCCGCCTTCAGGAATGTGAACGCATTACACTGCAAAGACATAAGTAGGTCAGATGCTAAATATAGATGACTAGCTATTTTTAGCAGGTTATGGCAGTGAAGGTGTTCAAGTGCATTCACCTACTTCATGTCACCATAACTTCGAGTCATCAATCTGATGATATTTATAGAAAAAAATACATGAATTGTAAAATGCTATAGTTTTAATGGAAGGTACAAATACTAAAAATTTTAATATTCTGATATAAAAGTATATTTGATTAAAACAAATTAAATCATAATCGTAGGCCTTTATTATGAATAATTCAGAAATTGATAAATACAAATAAGGGGTACTTGCCTTTTCACTTCTGAATCTGTAAGAAGAAAAAGAACATGCTAAAATTATATTCAAATAACTTGTAATTAATAACAATAAAAAACTTAAAACAACAAACATACTTAAAAAAATACAAACAATAGGCCTATTAGGCCTATGATAGTCAAATATTGTAAAAAAAAGACAAAATAAATAAAATTAATACCCAGTTTGAAACACACACCAAAAAAACTTTAAAAATACCGAACCCTTTAAAAATTACATTCCAAACATAAAGCACTTGTGCGTACATTGGCGTTCCATACTCAATGCTGTTTAATGCGACCGAAATGCATAACAATACGGCGTGACCGAAGTGAAGGCGGGACCGAAATGATCTGTGTTTGTCTAGGCCAAGCCCTAGGCCTATATGGTTTTGCCAAAACATCAAGATGGAGGAGAAAATTAAAAAATAACATTTTATAGACTTCTTTCAATGTTTACAATAGCCCTGGCTGAAACGCTTGCAGCACATTACTTCGTAGGCAAGAAAATATCCCAGGATAGGGCAATTGCATGTAGTAAAATCAGAAAACTGGTTATAATAATAATAACATTTAATAATAATAATAATAATAATAATAATAATATGTCGTTCTTATATAGCACATCATTCACAAAGCCTCTAAGCGCTTCACATTACCACCCCGGTCATTGGATCAAACACATATGGAACACAAACTGAACACCAAATTAAATTATATTATTATTCCATAATATTGTAGCTAGTAATCAGCGCAGTTGTGTTGGAACCTACCAGGTACCCACTTGTACTCCTGGTGGAGAGAGGCAACCGTAGATAAAGTGCCTTTCCCAAGGACACTAACGATTTGCACAGTGAGAGTTTTGAACCCCCGACCTCGAGGTTGGGAGTCCAAGCCACAACCGATGCGCCAACAGCTTCTGCATCTTTCTTTTTGTTGTGCCAAAAATACGAAAGCTACATGGATGAAACTCACATATAGCATAGTTAAATATATGTAGGCTAAAAAAAATTTAAGAAATTTTGTTTTTTCTATTTTTACTCAATTTTGAAAGTCATTTTTGTATTATTTCATTGGATGTTGCCAACTGCGGGCACGCTAGGCCAAGAAAGTGAAAGAGTGTGGAAACATCGTCTCTGCCTTTATGAAGGCCTCAAATGGGCCTATGAATTTTCTTTTTGCCACTCGGTGATGCTACGCTAACTTTGACGAACGTTTTGCATTTAGGAATGTACAGTAGTGCACCCTCAGTATTATTAATCATTACCAAAATTCTGTGTTTAAACGAATACGGAGGGTTCCAGACTAATTAAGTCTGCTATTTACAAACAGTACATACCATACATTAATGTGAAGAAGCAGAACAGATTTTTTACATGCCTGTTACTCTGTAATCTAAAATTTCGTGCATTGGCTTATGTTCTATTTATACTTTTCTGCTCAGGTCCAGTTACTGTTAAGATAGAACCAGTTGGAAGATGGTATGAAGCATTCTCACAGAGACGACGCAATCGGCTTACTTTATCACACAATGAGTCGATTCAGTCTAGCAGCTCGTCAGACGAGGAGGAGGAAACCATTTTTGATGAGGAAGATGACACTATGCTCAAGACGCTCAACCCAAAGGAGTGGAAGGTATGATTCAGTTGTTTGCCATTTATTAATTAATTGTGGAAGTGGTTTGGCGCAGCAGGAACAGTTTTGTTCCAAACCTCGCAGTTGGGGTTTCAATCCCTTGCTGTGCATTTCACTTTTGTCCTTGAGCAGGGCGCGATTTTTTTTTCCGTACGAAACATTTACATGAAACTCCACTCGGGCCGTCTCGGCTGAATCGACCCGAAAATCTCATTGCAGAATTCAGGAGGTCAAAAGGTCATCAATAGATAAACGTCTACAGAACAACTTCTGAGAGAACGTCGCTGTCTAATTTTAAAAAATAAATTGATGTTACCATGCTAATGCCAATTGGGTCGTTTAAAATGACATATAATATTTGATTAAGCTGCACGAGTAATGAAAATTGTTATTTTAACTTGAGTTACATACTATGACAATTTTAATTTTTTAGTTAGGCCTGGGTTTTGCATAATTACCTAGGCCTACTAAAAACGCTTTCTGTGAAAAGCACAAAGGGT